CAACACAATGACACTATAGACACGGTCCGTGTCACTAGTTAAAATTGCTTATTTCTAGAGCCCGACCGATATGGGTTTTTTTGGGGGCCGATACCGATATTAGGGAGTAAAAAATTGAGAAACTTCCCATTCGTGTGTCCAAACCAATATTCACAGACACAGTGTATATATGTACTGGCCTGTTTTTTATTTATTCATCAAAAATAAGACAAATTCCATGAAATTCCGCGTTATACAGTAAATTCAGTTTTTATGACTGGATTCCACGATTCTGTCCATGTTTTCTGCATCGCGGGAATTACAGGGCCCTAATAATGTAGCAAACGAATATGATAAGCTCATTGTGAGAGTAAAAGACGGAGACATTGTTGTTTATTTACTTAGCATTGAGTCTCTCCAACTAGGTGACAACGTAGCGTTAAATCACTATTCAACAGACACAAGCCACCACCGCACTGCCGTCTATTGGACTGCAGAAAGATAGCCTACTAACTTTTCAATATGCTACGTTACCGACTGTACTGACAAACTATGCTGACACCGTGTCTGCGCCGCAATAGGACACGACAAAGCGACCGTTGAAAATCATTTGAACTTTGTGTCAGCACATCATAAATAGAACGAGGCATCAGTTTACTGAATCCAGTGATTATAATGAGTTCTATTCTACACCGGACGCGAGCGGTGGCCGTAACACAGGCTTTAATGCGCCGCAGACGCGTGCCGTGATGCGCAGATCAGCTCTAGTCTCTAACGTCACTGAATCTGCTGTTAAAATGAGCCATCCATTCATCATATCATCATGCAAAACTAAGAATTAGAATCATTGTAATGTGACGATCAAATATAGGTGCGGACTCGGGTGAAGTTTGAGCTCATCCGCGCATCTCTACGCTACACTGACCTGGGTCGCCAGTAGCAAAGAATGGAGCGCACTCTGCTGGACAAAATAAATAATTACACCATTCAGAAGCATTTAATCTGCGTTATATGTTCTGTAAAAAAAAATTCATATCGGCGACAGGCTCATATCGGCCGATAAAATCGGCTAAACGATATATCGGTCGGGCTCTAGTGTGTATGTGTGTGTGAGGTCCTCTTACCCGCTCTGAGAGGAACGTACCACCTCCGTGTCTCAGAGGGAGGATGGATATCCATCCCGCCTCGTTCTGCCCCGCTGCCCTGCAGCTCATTAGTGAAATGCTGTCACTTCACCTTAAGCGCGTCCACTGAGGATCAGCTGCTGATTGAGCCGTCTCTCTAAGCATGATGGGATAGCCAGTCCTCCAGAGACATGGGCCGCTCGACCTCTGCTCTCAAGCTCATCCATTTCATCACACAACAGCTTTCTCCAGATTATAAATAATGTATTGTATGTATATTATTTTTTGTTATAAAAGATGGTCTGTATTGGCTATGACTAGATGCAAGATACTTTTTTTTGAGTAAAGAAAATGCTGTAATTATTGTTATTATTATAGGCAAAAAAATTAAAAAGTAAAAAAATAACGTTATTAACCGGTATTTTTTATACCCAAACCGGTTTTGGAACGGTAATAATACAGAAGGAACGCATGAATAGAAAAGTTAAAATACTGATTCTGCTCGGAGTGAACCGATTGAATTGGTTTTTTTTTTTTAGCCCTGATTTTAATACACATTTGTATTTATTTATTTATTTATTTATTTTTCTTTTTATATTTTATTTATTTTTTACAGTTTTTTGAAATTATTTAGTTTTTTTATTTATATCTATATGTTTTTATTTTGTTTTTTTTCATATATTTTATTTTATTTTTACAGTTTTTCGGAACAAAATATTTATTTACTCAATTAAAAAAAAATTTTTTTTATACAACTATACATGCAATTTTACAGCAGCTTTTCTCCAGCCGCGCCTCAGTTCAAAGTCTGCTCATAAGCATCACCCGAAGCACAACGCTGTTTAACAACCCGGTTACTCATTCACCCATTTCTACATGACCTAAAAATATAAAGCTCCAGGAAACTTCATGCGTTTCATGCATACCCCTACGTGCAAAGTTATTTCAAAGAGTTCTGAAGAACTGTGGTCACTCTGGTCTTCTTCACTTGGCCTTAATGTAAAAAATAGGACGTTCCCTCCTGAGGAGTTTAATATATCATATCATTTGACACGTAGCTTTTCCTGTGAGACCTTCTTTCCTTCCCAAATGTGTCAGAAAGAAAAATAGCCAATGAACCTGTCTGCAGGAACGACGGGAACAAAAGCCACTGCAACATTAACTCATGCTGCGCTGAGTCTCACGGGTCGAGTTACTAGATTCTGCATGCAATGGATATCGCTGTTAACCCTTACCGCGTTCAAATGAACTCAAATAAAGATGCATTATAAAACGAGCATGCATGCATGTTATAAAGCAGTCTAATTCACACACGCGTTCTGATCTCTGCGCAGCCCAAGCCGACGAAGGGCCGCATGCGAATCCACTGTCTGGAGAACGTGGACAAGGCCCTGCAGTTCCTCAAGGAGCAGCGCGTGCATCTGGAGAACATGGGGTCACATGATATCGTGGACGGAAACCACCGACTCACGCTCGGACTCATCTGGACCATCATCCTCCGCTTCCAGGTACAGCATCTTCTGGATGCTACAGACCCCTCAAATGTGCATGTGAAGGACGTCCAGCCTAAAATTTCAAAGGCAGCTGCATATTTTCATGCATAACAACAGTTTATACTGTGAAAATTTGATATTGTACATGCATATAAAATATTATTTGGAAATGTTTAGTTTCTTTTACTTTATGACACCCTTTCCCGTCTACTAACTGTACTACTGTACACTAGGATGCGTTATTTATTTATATTTATCATTATTTTTTATTTCATTTTTTAAAATGAATTTGATTCACATTTTTATTAATTAGAAAATAAAAAACTGAAAATATTTGGTTTCTATTACTTAACAATCTAACGCTTTTTTCCTAATCGGTATAATGCTGTATAAAAAGTAAAAAGTGAAAGTACTGTATTATTCATTTATATGTATATTTAAACCAACTTTTTATTTTTTAGTCAAATTTTTTTTATTATTAAATAATTGTAATATATATTTTTTATATTTTAATAAATATTAATATGTATTTATTTATTAATTTTGTTATTTAGCCTTTTTGAATATTATAATATTAAATATTTGTAATATATATTTTAAATATTTTATTAAATATTAATATTTATTTATCAGTTTAGTAAGAAATGTAAGTTTAAATATTTGGATCGAAATAAATAATTTTAAATAAAATTTAGAATAACTAAATTAATTCCTATTTGAGATGTAACCATTAGAAATGACCTCATCTTAATATTTACATACTGCAATTGCAAATCTTAGGATCTTAAATCTGTTTTATTGACTGATTATTTTAGTCTTTTTGTTTATTTTTATTTTAATAGGAATACATTATTTAATCAAATATTTATTTTATTTATTTAAATATTCTTATTAAAATAAATAAATAAAAATAAAATATTTTTTTTTAAATAAATATATTCATTATTAATAAGTTAATTAACTAAATTAGTCTTACATCTGTTTACATTCTGAACTGTAATAGGTTTAGTCTTCGTTGCATATTTCTAACCATTTATAGCCACATGGTACCATGTTATGTGGTGATTTTTGTGCGCATTAAACGGAAAATGCAGTAAAATATCGGTAAATGACTCTGATGTGGCATTTAACATACAGAATTGAAGTCTAAAACCACAGCTTACCTAAAACTTTAACTTTAACTGCTGTTCAACTTTTCTTTCCTTTATGAAACACAGATCTGACATTAACATCTGTCTGTCTTCACTAGGTGCTCGACAACGCCATTGAGACGGAGAAGATGATCGAGAAATATGAATCTCTGGCGTCTGATCTGCTGGAGTGGATTGAACAAACCATCATCATCCTCAACAACCGCAAGTTTGCAAACTCTCTGGTTGGAGTCCAGCAGCAGCTGCAGGCCTTCAACACTTACAGGACCGTGGAGAAACCACCCAAGTGAGTGTCTGCCGGAAACATACAACTCTCAATTTCAAAAAATTGATCCTTATGACTGGTTTTGTGGTCCAGGGTCACATATTAGAACTCAAATGAACTGAATGTCGTTTTCAACGCTTTCTCCACAGATTCACTGAGAAAGGCAACCTGGAAGTGCTTCTGTTCACCATACAGAGCAAGATGAGGGCCAATAACCAGAAAGTGTACATGCCACGAGAGGGCAAACTCATCTCAGACATCAACAAGGTGAAAATTACCTCGTTTTCACTACGTTTGATTTTCATTTCGGAGCTGCACGTTGTTTTTTTCGGTCCGAGTTGCTTTGAACTGCCTAGGATTCATTATTTATTCACTTACAAATTAATACCATGGTATTTTGCTTACTTTGGTGCATTTCGTCAGGGCAAAACTATGGTACAACCACAGCATGTTTTGTACTTACACTGTTTTATATTTATGCATTTACATTATTCATATTATTTAAAAAATATATTTATATTTATAAAAATATATATATTTATAATATATTATAAATAAATATATTGCAATTTATTTATAATTAAAAAACAGTTTCTTTACATTTGATTATTTATTGTAAATGTATTTATCAGATTTTCACTACGTTAGATTTTAATTCATTAATTATTGTTTATTTTAATTTAATGGATTTTAATGGTTTTTAAGTCTGAATTGCTTTTAACTGGCTAGGGGTTATTATTTAGGATTCATTATTTATGTAAAGGTAAAACTATGGTACAATCACAGTATTTTTGTAATTACACTATTTTAGAGTTATACATTAATATTAATTATATATAAAAACATTCTAAAAAAAAAAATATATATATATATATATACACTCTAAAATATATTTATAAACATTTAAAAACAGTATTATTTATACATTTATTTATTACATTAGGTTAGATTTTATGTTTATACATTTACATTTATATTTTTTGTATTTTTAAAATATATTATAAATGCAATATTATCTATGCTTGTGTGTGTGTGTGTATATATATATATATATATACAAACACACAATTTATTTCTAATCTATTTAAAAACAGTTTATTTACTTTTTATTATTTATTAATTATTATTTATTTACATTTTATTTACTTTTTATTATTTATTATACATTTATCAGATTACCTCTTCAATTCATAATTTTACCTGGCTAGGATTCATTATTTATCCACTTACAAATAAATACCATGGTACTTTGCTTACTTTGGTGCGTTCTGTGAGGGCAAGATTGGGTTAGATTCTGTATTTTAGATTGAAATGCATCAGTTTTTTCCCGTCATTATTTCGTTTCCTCAGTAAAATCTCTTGAAATCCGAATGGTGACTGTGATGTGCTGAAGCTGTGGTGTTGTCGCAGGCGTGGGAGCGTCTGGAGAAGGCGGAGCACGAGCGTGAGCTGGCGCTGAGGACCGAGCTGATTCGACAGGAGAAGCTGGAGCAGCTCGCCAGACGCTTCGACCGCAAGGCTGCCATGAGAGAGACCTGGCTGAGCGAGAACCAGCGCCTCGTTTCCCAGGTTCATTTCACTGCGCTTGCTGTAGAAACAAACACACATGTGCTTCGTCCAGCACTGCGTTGTGTAATACATCTCAGCCGTGATTTTATGCAATTTTGTGACCCCTGGTGGTGAAAGATTCAAAATTGTCAAGAGACAAAACACAGTTGCTTGTGCACTATTTTAAATTTTAAATTTTATACATTCACAATTCACTTATAATATGGTTTAAAAAAAAATTATATTTTCAAATTTGTTACTTATTACTTATTTTAAATGCTTATTATTTATATTTATATACTTATTATATTTTTATGAAAGCAGAGGGTCTAAATAATTATTTTTCATAAATATGCCAAAAAATAAATATTTAAATATTTATTTATTTATTTTTCTTTTAAAACAGTTCAAACTTATATTATTTATATATTATTATTATTATTATTATTATTATATGAAAACAAAAACTCAACAATGAGCATTTTTCATAATTTTGCCACAAAAAAATCTCTGCTTCCACTAAACATACATCCAAACAATAATTGTACAATATTTATGAACTGTTAGGAAATATATTTATTTATTTATAATATATTTTAAAAAGCATATTTTATTTATATTTTATTATTTATCATAAATTTTTATGTTATTTCTTTCTTGAATGTATATTTTTATTATTTATATTATTTTATTATGAAAACAAAATGAGCATTTTTCATAATTTTGCCACAAAAGTCTCTGCTTTCACTAAACATACAGGAATCAAACAATAATTGTACAATATTGCTGAACTATGTTATAAAAGATTTTGAGTTAGTACACAGTTTTTTATAAACACTGACAGAACTGGTTGTTCCCATCCATTTTAATACATATACTTTATATTTTTATACTTTTTCCCCATACATAAAAAAACTAGTGCTGTCAAACGATTAATCGCGATTAATCGCATCCAAAATAAATCCTCCTCCTGCTGGAGCAGGGGGAGCGCTCGCTCGAGGACCATACCAGACTGTTTCTGGGCCTCGCCGAACTTACCAGCTACCCGGACGACATGCTCTGCGTGTTCTATGACGCTAGCCTGAACACCGCGTGCAGAGCGCCGTCGTCCGAAGATGGTCCTCGAGTGGAATTCTCCGCCTTCGTGGAGTGGACCCTGGCGAGAAATGGATCTCCGTCCCCCGCCTGTTCCCAGGAGAATCTCACCAGATCCACTCCCGACCCAGTGCCCAGCCCACCATCTCCCCGATGCACGGAGCGCATGCCCGAGCCCACCGCGACCGACGAGCCATCGCCGAACGGAGCGACAGAGCTGAGGATCGCCGCGGAGCCAGAGCTGCTGAAGACGTCAGTCAAGGTGTGTAAGCCGGCAACAACGTCCACCACGAGGGAGAGAGCTGCAGACGGTGTGAGCGTGGAGAGGAGCTCCGCCCCCTGCACTGCGGCCGAGGGTGAGCTGAGTATGGCGTGGCGTATGTGCCAAAATGAAGAGGAGAGGGCTCCAGCCCCCGAATCCAGTTCAGAGCGCCCTCCAGTGCCCGCTCCTAGAAAGCGCCCTCCAGTGCCTGCTCCTAGAAAGCACCCTCAAGTGTCCGCTCCTCCAGAGCGCAATCCTGTTCCCGGGTTCAGCCTGGAGGGGGCTCCTGATCCAGAGTTTAGCCCCGAAAGCCCGGAGGCTCACGAATGCCTCCTCCTCCGCTGTCTTCTGGCAGCCCCTCTGCTTGCCCTCAGCCCACCATCTAACTCGGCTTCTCCTCAGTCCTCGGTCGCTCCGGCTCCACCGCGGCCTCCTGGATCCACATCTTCGCCTCGGTCACCGGCGCCATCTGCTCCGCCTAGGACCTCCGGATCCTCCCCGTCGCCCTGGCTTATCGGCTCGCCGTCTCCGCCTCGGGCTCCTTAGTCTTCCTTTGTCGGTTCTACTTGTTGGATGTTGTGAAATTCCCCTGTCATTCCCAGGATTAAAGACTTTATGTACTCCACGTCTCCTTGTTCCTCTTTCCACGCTCCTCCTAGCACAGATCGTGACACGCACATGCATGTATATATTTAAGAAAAATATGTTATGTTTATATCTTAAATATATTTATATATAATGTCAATTATATTAATATAAATATATACATGTAAATACATGTGCACAGTATACATGCATATATTATGCAAACAAAAACTTTTATTTTGGAAGCGATTAATGGTTTGACAGCACTAAAAAAAAAACAGAAAAAAGAAAAAAAATTTTTTAATATTAATGTTTTTTTACTTTAAAAAAAAATAAATAAATAAAAATATTTGCCATCTCTGAAAACCTCAAAAAAAAAAAAAAACTAAAAACAAAAACAAATGTGCAATAATGAATCGCAAGTTGTAGCAGGTTAAAACTAGTAAAACAGTCATTTCTTTCCCATACTTACTTTCTTAACCTTCCCATTTCTTTTCTGCAGGACAATTTCGGATTCGACCTCCAGGCGGTCGAGGCAGCTACCAAAAAACACGAAGCCATTGAGACGGACATCGCGGCGTACGAGGAGCGCGTGCTGGCGGTGGTGGCCGTGGCCAGAGAGCTGGAGACAGAGAACTACCACGACATCAAGCGCATCGCCGCGCGCAAAGACAACGTGCTGCGTCTGTGGGAGTATCTGCTGGAGCTGCTCAAAGCGCGCAGACAGCGGCTGGAGATGAACCTCGGCCTGCAGCGCGTCTTCCAGGAGATGCTCTACATCATGGACTGGATGGACGAGATGAAGGTGAGCGAGGAAGACAAGGTGTGGGAGTTGGACGGCTTAGAAGTGAGATGCAGTGTAGCGCTCAGTGAGATGAACATTAAAAATAGATTCTAGCAATAGAAGTAGGTAAAAATTGTTCAGCTAAACTTTTAATAGATAGTAATAATTGGTTCATATTTGAAGATATTATGATTATTTGCTTTAATATTATGGTACAAAAAATTTACTTTACGCTCTATATGTTTGGGGTCCAATAGACACAGTTCTGTTTTCGCAATAAAAAAATCATCATAATTTTTTAATTAATGTATTATTTTCCATCAATATATTTTTACATTTTTATAATAGGTTACTCTGACCTATTAAAATCTTAATGCTTTTGCCATTTTTATTTTTGTAAATATTTCAGCTTCCTATTTAGGTTTAATTTACTTTCATTTCAGTTTTAGTCATTTTAGTGCTTCAACTTCATCTTTATCTTGAGACGAAAATGCTTGATAGTCTTAGTCAGATTTTAGTCATTTGAGTCTTTCATAGTTTTAGTCGACGAAAAGTCATTGCATTTTTGTCAACTTTTAGTCATTACTTTGTCATTACTTTTAGTCAAACTGCAGTTACCAACATTTATTTTGGTAGCTATTTTATATGTAGTCTTCAAACAAAAATAGTCATTAATTCTTCTCTCTTTAGACCAAATAAATTAAGCTTATGAGAAATTTGAATCAAGGATTGAATTTGGAAAAACTTGAATAAATGATGACAATTTTTATTTTTGGGTGAATTATCCCTTTAACAGTAGTGAAAAGGGAGCAACTTAAAAAAATTATAGCTGTTCATATATAATATATATAATTTATAATTTTTGAAAAAGAAGCAGAATGAGACAATAAGACAAATATGAAAGAGATACAAATTAAATTCATTTTTCAGATACAGTAGGTTCACTTAACATATTTAACATTTTTTGTTGGTTAACATTAATGACACGGACAGGTACTTAATTAGGAATGCTGTCCCTTTCAGACGGAAGGCATGCATGTACTGACACACGTTCAGTTTTCACCCACCTGTTTACGTTCACTTAATCCATAACCGACTGTATTTACGTGAGATACTCTACACAATAGACATTTGGACCACTGTGTGTGTATTTGATTATATTAATTGGAGCGTGCACGAGAGAGAGCACTTCTATCAGCGAGATTCCGCCTATCCCGCCTTCACTAACTTTAAGTTAATCGACAACGAATTGTGACTCCCGGGAAAAACGTGACGTCTGGTCACCTTATCCCTACCCCTTCGGGTGCTGAGGCCATTGTTTCAGATCGCTAGTTCGCATTTTGGTAGCCTATCCATCCACTGCGGCTGCCATACTAAGACTAGATATGCAAACGCCCCTTATCCGATTGCAATCCAATGACAGGGACGCACATTTTGAAGGACAAGACAGTAGCCTATAGGATGTATTTTGAATGTCCGGTAGTCCTCAAATAACATTATAGTCCCGTCTTGTCTTGTTAATGAAGACGCGGCATAAATTTCGTCATAGTTTTTATCATCAGATATTAGTTTTAGCTCGTCAACGTCTAGTCTTAGTCACAGAAAAAAATTTCGTTAACGAATATTTTCCGTTGACTAAATTAACACTGCAGTTAAGGCAGCATTTTGAATTTTCGATTTTTTTATTTATTTCAGGCTTATTTCAGTTAACAAAAACAACTTTTAATAGTTTTAGTTTCAGTTTGAGGTTTAGTTAACAATAAAAGCACTGCCTGACATACAAGTGGAATCATCAGGGTTATTATAATTAACTAAAACCATAAAACGGTTTTTGTTACTTGAAATAAAATACTTCAACTGAAAAAAAAATATTAAAAACAAACCTTAAACTTATTTTATTTCTGCTAAGCTACCAAGACCTAATTTCTCATTTTTATTTAGTCTATTTTGACACGCTAAAATAACATAAAAAAATGACAAAAACACAAAACTGTAAAATTACAATTAAAATAAAATAAATATAAAATTTAAATATAAACTATAACATTTTGTATATAAAATATAAACTATGAAAATCAAAAAATATATAAAAATAAAAACATTCAAAATATTAAAAACTATAGTAGTATCTCAATGATACTAAAATAACACTGACACCAACAAACTCTATACATTTTTATAACTTGCTCCTCTGAATTTTTGACCTATGTTATTGCATATTTCATAATGTTTAGAACATAACATGATGGCAAAACTTTTTAATTTTACATTTATTCATTAAGCAGATGCTTTTATCCAAAGCGACTTACAAATGAGGAACATCACAAGCAATGTATGATTAGAGCCAAGCTTCAGTGCAAGCTAGATTCCTGCATTAGCTTCAAAGCCAAGTGAATGCTGATCTAAATGATGTGGTTGTGAGTTTCTCCTGTCCTCCACAGATGCTGCTGCTGTCTCAGGATTACGGGAAGCATTTGCTGGGAGTGGAGGATCTGCTGCAGAAGCACGCTCTGGTGGAGGCCGACATCGGCATACAGGCCGACCGCGTCAAAGCCGTCAACGCCAACGCACAGAAGCTTGCCGTGGATGAGGAGGGTAAGAAGAGCTCTCTGTTCACCGCTTTTCACATCCTTACTCTTCATTTCATCAGAAACTGACTTTAGTCTGACAATCAGAAGTCATTTCTGGAAAATATTCATAGCAAAGAATCCATTCTTTCAGAATGACAATGAAAATATAAAATAGGGAGACCAAGTTCTATGAGTCTATGAGTTTATGATTCCAGCAGGTTCAGATTCAGTTTCAGAGCCGTTTGTTCATTCGGAGGAAACATGCAGAGCTGCTCCAGACTGGGTTTTGCGAGGTTCCCACGTTCATGGAGAACCTGGAACTAACAGGGAGTTTTAAAACTGTGATTTGCAGGCCAGGGAAAGTCAAGGAAATATAATAAATTGAAAATGGAAAAGTCATGAAAATTTTATAGTGAATATAAATTTCTCTGGTTATGCTATAAAGGAAGTCAAAACCTTCTTTGTGTGCACACATATATAAAATATATAATTGTTTACATTTCTGAATTCCAAGATTAGTACCTGACATCAGCTTTAATATATTATTATAGTATTTATTAATATTTTGTATTAGCTTTTATTTTTATATATCTTCTATATCTTCTATCTTTTATAACTTTTTTCTATTTATTTATTTAAAACAGTTTATATTTTAATATTTATTATAAATTACGTTATTACTTATACATTTTTATTATTATTATTCATACTATTTTATTTATTATTATTATTATATGAAAACAAAAACACTAAATGAGCATATTTTAAATTTAAATTTTCATCTGTATTTGTCTGCATTTTTATTAGGTTTTTTTATATTTCTATTTAGCTTCATTTTATTTTTTGTTTCAGTTTTAGTAATTTTAGTACTTATTTAGTACTTACTTTAAACTTATTTTATTTAAGTTAGTTGCCAAGGCAACATTTTCATTTAAATATTCATATCTAATTTTTCTATTTTATTTCATTTCAGCTTTATTTCAATTAACAAAGACAATTTTTAATAGTTTTAGTTTCAGTTTTAATTTTTAGTTAACAATAAAAACACTGCCTGACATAAACATCTCATACGGAAATGTAATATATGACATATATTGGCTTATATCAAGAGCGACATTGCCATATATGTTACCTATAAGGCAGTAATATCTATATGATGATTTTTTTTATAGGGTATTATATTTGGTTTTTGGATGGATATACATTACATGACATATATGTCCAAAAATGCATTACACATACATATTTGTATGGGCTACATAAATATGGTTTCATATATGACTATATATTTCATATATCTAAATTTAGTGTTGCTGAAAAGCGACTTATACACATATATTACATTAGCGTATGAGATGGAATCATCCCCAGAAAGCTCTATTAAATAAGTTTAAAAATACTTAAGCAATGCTGCAGTTGTCATGGAAATGCATTGGTCAAAAAGGATTGGAGTCCTTTTTCCAAAAGCATATGGAGTTGTTATTCAACAAAGTCACTGTACATTATAATAATGAACCAGCTTGTGAAGAAAAGTGTATCTATTTCCCTATAAAAAAAAATTGGTGTAGTTTTTACCCAGAAATTGCAGGTAAATTTCACAAAGAAACGGCATTAAACACATTAAATTGTGAAATTTTAGAAAGCCTGAAAGAGTATTTTCATACATTATACTCCAGTGATGTTTTATTCACATGTTCAAAAAATGTGACCCTGGACCACAAAACAAGTCTTAAATTGAATATATAATAACAATTTATTTTATTTCTGTTAGCATGTATTTATTTCAAGTAACTTTTTTTTTATGGTTTTAGTTTCAGTTTTAGTTTTATGTGCTGAAAAATAAGGCAAATCCAATAGAAGCACATCTTAGCTTGACTGTTTTTGCGTCCTCTGCTCAGCTGTCCCTGTGGATCAATGAGAAGATGCTGACAGCACAGGACATGTCCTACGATGAAGCTCGCAACCTGCACAGCAAATGGCTCAAACACCAGGCCTTCATGGCCGAACTGCAGTCCAACAAAGAATGGCTGGACAAAATCGAGAAGGTCAGTTATTAATACACTTAACATAAAAGTGCTCAAGTTACAAGTCTTGAAAATGTGCTGTTTTTTATGTTTTTGTGCATTTATCTCACAAAGCCTCACAGAATAAATCCAGGCATATCTTTCTTCTTAGATATTCTGTTTTTGCCTGAAATACCGAAACTGAAATAAGTAATCAAGTGCTTTACCAGACAGAATCTATGATCCTTCTTTGAAAACATTACGCATTCGTTAATTCCGTATCTCTTCATGCATTGCTAAGGACTTCATTTGGACAACTTTAAAGGCGATTTTCTCAGAATTTAGATTTTTTTTGCACCCTCAGATTTTCAAATAGTTGTATCTCGGCCAAAATATTGTCCTATCCTCACAAACCATACATCAATGGAAAGCTTATTTATTCAGCTTTCAGACAAACAAACAAAAAAACATTTTAAAAAATTTGCCCTTATGACCCTTATGACTGGTTTTGTGGTCCAGGGTCACATATGCCACATTTATTATTATTGGTTTGCGAGATATAAAATCAGAATTGCGAGAAAGAAATTCAGAATTATGAGTTTACAATCAGTTTATATCTCACAAGTATTGTGAGAAAAGAGTCACGTTACGTTTTTTTTATTTTTTATTCAATGGAGGGTTCCATGCTATATCCTTTTAATATCCTTTTTTAATGTAATTTAAACCAATGCACTTTTGAAACCTTTTTTCTTTTCTGCATTTTCTCCTCTTTTCTTGCGTGCTTCCTGATCTAGGTGTCTAATAAACCTGGCATTGTATATCACAAATAAACAAAAGTCTTTCTAAGCTGCTTTGGATAATCTAAGTTGCTTTGGATAAAAGCATCTGCTAAATGCATAAATGTAAATGTGATTTCATTACATGTAATGTCATTTCTCTGTCTGTCTGCAGGAAGGGACGCAGCTTGTTTCGGAGAAGCCAGAGACAGAAGCCATAGTGAAGGAGAAGCTGGCCACGTTGCAGAAGATGTGGACCGAACTGGAAACTACGACTCAGACTAAAGCCCAGTGTCTGTTTGATGCCAACAAGGCCGAACTCTTCACGCAGAGCTGCGCCGATCTGGACAAGTGGCTGGTGGGTCTGGAGGGTCAGATCCAATCGGACGACTACGGCAAAGATCTGACCAGCGTCAGCATCCTGATGAAGAAACAACAGGTTTGAGATGATCAGAGCTGACGGCTGTGTTTATATTCTGAAGGACCAGACTCACTCCTCTCCTTTGTCTCCAGATGCTGGAGAACCAGGTGGAGGTGCGTCAGAGGGAGGTGGAGGAGCTCCAGTCTCTCAAATAAATGCTGTTCTTTTGAACGTTCTATTCATCAAAGAACCCTGAAAAAAAGTTTCCTCAAACATTTTTGTCAGCACAACTGTTTTCAACATTGATAATAATCAGAAATGGTTCTTGTGCAGCCAATCAGCATATTAGAATGATTTCTGAAGATCATGTGACTAAGAAGACTAAAAGTTCAGCTTTGATCACATGAATAAATTACATTTTAAAATAAATTGACAACCGGTATTTTAAATTGTGAAAATATTTCACAATATTACTGTTTTACAGTATGTACAGCTTCAGTGAGCAGAAGAAACTTCTTTCAAAAACATTTAAAAAAAAATCTTACCGACCCCAAAGTTTTGAACTGCTTGTTGTGTGTCATCATGATCATTTGTGCTGCTATTGTACATTTAATTTCATTAGGTACATAATTAAAAACAGGTTTTCCACACACACACTTACTCAAACGTCCTTTAATCCACAGACATTACAGAAGGAGATCCAGGGCCATCAGCCGCGCTGCGACGACATCTTCGAGCGCAGCCAGAGCATCCTGAAGGCCGACAGTCCCAACGTGGAAGCCATCCAAGCCCGTCTGTCCGACCTGCAGCAGCTGTGGAGCCTGATCATCCAGGAGACGGAGAAACGGCACGCCAGACTCGAGGAGGCCCACAAGGCCCAGCAGTACTACTTTGACGCAGCTGAAGCTGAAGCCTGGATGAGCGAGCAGGAGCTCTACATGATGTCTGAAGAGAAGGCCAAGGTCTGTTATGTTCCTGTAATCTGTAAATCACAGATTAGCAGTTTCTGCAGATATCATTAATGTTAATGTGCATTGAGATGCTTTTATTTTGTCTTAAATACACCAAATAAAAACCATCTCAATGCACATGAACATTAATGACTATAGCAATTAATGCACTATAGGCAAAACCTTTGTTTTTTTTCATGCACTGGTCAGTTTTGGTCTATTTTGCTTCCATAGCATGTCTTTTTTCAGACTAGTGGGACGGAAACATCCAAAATACACATTTAAGTATTTATTGTATTACATTTTATATATCTGTGTCTGTACATTTCGATTACAATACCTATCTTTTAAGCTTTCCCCTCCACTTCAGCAGCACTTACTTAGTTTTATTCCTATCTATACTCTGAAGGTTTTTATTGTTCATATATCATTCGCACATTTTATTCTTAAAACATACTTTTTTTCTGTCTGCTGACAGTATTTTCTGATTTATGTAGAAATCCAAAAGACAAATCCAAAATCTCCTCAGTAAAAAACTCTGTCAACAAAATCAAACAACAATTTTGAACCTGGCTTTATCCACTGTTCAGATTTAGCAAATTAGTACATAATTAATTAGATAATTTCTCATTTGCTTAAACAACATTTCAGAAATCTTGTAATACAAAATTCAGTGTCCTGATTAAGCAACTGGGGACATACAATGATATCTATTTGCTTTAAAGGGGAACTGCCTTTTTTATTATTTTGTACAGTTCTCTGAGGTCCACTTGCCAATCAGGCAGCGATGTAGAAGCAGGCGTTGATCTTCTGCGGAGGCGGGGTTTAGCCACACTATTACGTCATGAAGTGGCACATTCCACAAGCTGTCGTTTTGGCAGATTGGCTTCAATATAAGCTGTTTTTAGACTTTTCTGAAACTTACAGGATGTTTTTACAGCACAATGACCTCTTATATGTCAAAAGATCAAGGGAATTTTGATTTCTCAGTTCATGACCCCTTTAACTGCTAAAGTGAACATTAGCTTGGTTTAATATTTATATGCTGCTTTTCTGAAATGACGCCCTTGTTCTCAGGATGAGCAGAGCTCAGTGGCCATGCTGAAGAAACACCAGATCTTGGAGCAGGCGGTGGAGGACTATGCTGAAAACGTGCACCAACTGTCCAAGACGAGCCGAGGCCTGGTGGCCGCAAACCACCCCGAGAGGTACATTTCACACAGTTCAATACTTAACATGAATCTAAGTATAAATCTGAATCTGGATCTCATTTTGAATCTGATATTAACTTTGAAACTCCATCTGGTTTTGATTCTGACATTGTTTTCTAAATATATTTCTAAATGTGGATCTGACTTTGAATATAAATATGAATCTGATTTTGAGACTCTGCCAATGTTTTGCATTCTAGTTTTGCATTGCATTTACACAAATAACTACTTCTGACTGGTCCATCTCTGATGATTGTGCCAATGTAGTTTACAATCAGTGATTAAAAAAACAAAAAACTTTAAATGAAATATTATATTTTTGTTTGATATTGACAGCTATTTGGGGATATATTACATGTTACAAATGTTGCATTTTTTGGACCAGTTTTAAAGTTTTATTAAATTTTTGTTCCTGAAATCCACCCTTCTGCTGGGATCAGAATAATCCAGTTTTTCCGGATCAAAAGTATCCCAAATTTACTAAAACTGAGGATTTGATCCAGATCAAAACCAAGATTGGATTTTGTGATCTAATCCGAATTCAGAATCCTTTTTTTCTTTTGAACAACCCATTTTCAAGATTTGATCCAATCCAATTGCCAAAATCCAATCAGATTACTTTTGAACAACTGGCCCCTGGATTTTAATCTTAATCCTATTTGATTCTGGCTCTGAAACTGACTTTGATTCTAAACCTGGATCTGAATCTCACTGTGACTCTGAATCTGATTTGGAATTGATCTGAATTAGACGTACACTCTCACGTTTGTATTTCAAGCTCCATCTTTACACCTCTGGCCTGATGAACGTCTTATGCTGAACATTTCTGAATATGATCTTAAAATCAGCCCTGACTTCTTCTGATGTGTCTGTGCTGCAGTGAGAGGATCGGCATGCGTCAGTCACAGGTGGATAAGCTGTACGCCGGACTGAAGGACCTATCAGAGGAGAGGAGAGGCAAACTGGAGGAGCGCTTCCGCCTCTTCCAGCTCAACCGGGAAGTGGACGATCTGGAGCAGTGGATCGCCGAGAGAGAGGTGGTGGCTGGATCTCACGAGCTCGGACAAGACTACGAACACGTCACGGTGAGTCCCAAAGATGAGCTCTAGCACACTTTGTCCAGCATCAAAATCAAAATGTCAGAATTTTTATTTCAGTGTTAAGGTTAGTCTATGTTATAGTTAAAATAATGTCTCAATCTTTTTTATCTCAATATTAACGTATTTGCTCTGCAGTGGCTTTGAAATGATATTTAAAAAAAACATTTCAGTATATTAAATTAGTTTGGAGCCAACTTTATTGTCATTGTGCAAGTACAACTTTTTAAGTGCAAGAAAATAATGTGTAATATATATATATATATATATATATATATTCTGAAATATAAAATAAAATATTAAAAAAATAATTTAAACAATGGTTATATTACAATAAATACATTTTTTTACTTTTAAAATACATTTACAAAAACAAATAAAATGTCAAAACTGTATTTAAATTTTTTTAAGTATATGGTATTTTTTAAGGACTGAGTGATATAGATTATATCTCAAACTTTTTTTTTAGACTCCTATGCAAGAATCTTCTTCTCTGCTTTTCTTACAAACAAACAAACTCAAACCAAATTCATTTAAACAGGCCAAACTGATTGATTTATAGAGGAAATGTTTCATTTTTACTTAAAGTCATGAACAGATCAGATTTATGGCATGATCTCCAACCAGAAGTTAAATAAAGCTTTTATTATTGATAAATCGTAATGCTGTCATCCAAGTCTGATTATATCCAATTATCAAGACATGCTGCAAATATACTAAATGTTATCATATAATAAATGCAGAACTGTATATATATATATAGAGAGAGAGAGAGAGACAGAGAGAGAGTTTTGAAATAATTAAGATTTTTTTTTTTTAATTTTGAAAGAATTCTCTTATGCTCTCCAGGCCTACTTTTATTTGATCAAGAATCAGTTTGGGCGAATTAACTTTATTAATATTTATTAGTGCTGTCAAACGATTAATCGCATGCAAAATAAAATATTTTGTTTACAAAATAAATGTGTGTGTACTGTGTATATTTATTATGTATATATAAATGCACACATATGCACATATATATTTAAGATGAATATGTTATGTTTATATATTAAATATATGTATATATAATATAAATTATATTAATATATGCTTGTAAATGCATGTAAATATTTTCTAAATATATACGTGCATGTGTGTGTGTGTTTATATATACATAATAAATATACACAGCACACACACATTTATTATGTAAACTTTTATTTTGGATGCGATTAATCACGATTTATCGTTTGACAGCACTAATATTTATTAGTGGTGCATTGCAGCATGTAAATGAGGGTAAATTTATTAAATATACCAAATTTGATCATATAATAAATGCATTTTTGTTCCTCTACCGCAGATGTTGCAGGAGCGCTTCCGAGAGTTTGCTCGCGACACGGGAAACATCGGTCAGGAGCGTGTGGACGGCGTGAACCGCATGGCTGACGAGCTCATAAACGCAGGGCACACTGACGCGGCGACTGTTGCCGAGTGGAAGGACGGTCTGAACGAGGCCTGGGCCGATCTGCTGGAGCTCATCGACACACGCACGCAGATTCTTGCCGCGTCCTACGAGCTGCACAAGTTCTACCACGACGCCAAGGAGATTCTGGGCCGCATCCTGGACAAGCACAAGAAGCTTCCAGAAGAGCTGGGCCGAGACCAGAACACAGTGGAAACTTTGCAGAGGATGCACACCACGTTTGAACACGACATTCAAGCTCTCGGGACGCAGGTGCGTCGCTCAGATCCAGAAACACACACAGATACAGATAAACATCATAAACCAGATCAAAAATTATTATATCTCAGCCGTTTTCATCCTTTTGACACATTTGATTTATAATAATATTTATGCGTTTGCTCTGCAGTGGCTTAAAAATTTATGTTTTTAAATTATTCAGAATATGATTAAATCATCTTTATTGTCACTGTTCAGAACATAAGTACAAGACGATTATGTATAATAATAAACACATATATAAACCATAAAAAAAAAAAATGTTCTAAAATATGAAAATGAATATATTCCAAAAAAATTTAAAATATAATGCTGATATATAAAAATATATCATGTACAGTTTGGAATAATTAAGATTTTTTTCATGTTTCTGACAGTAGTCTCTTATGCTCATCAAGGCTGCATTTATTTGATCAACAATACAGTGAAAATAAATTTAATTAAAAAATATATTACAATAAAAAATACTTTCAAACTGTAATAATATTTTGCAATCTTACTGTTGTTTATGTATTTTTTTATCTATTTTTTTACTTTCAAAAAACAAAATTATTCAAAAATTTTATAGAATTACACACACGTGTATATATATATATATATAATTTTTTAGAGTAATTCAGAATGTTTAAATATTTATATACATTTTTATTTAATTATATATATATATATAGAGAGAGAGAAAAATAATTAATTAGTTAATTATTTATAGATTAATTAGTATGTTTTAAAAATATATATAAATATAATAATAAAAATAATTATATTTAATATTTTTATAAATAATATAATAATAATATTATTTTAAATAATAATATTGATATTCTATAACTTAAATAGATTTATTAAATATATATTTTATAGCCTTCGTTTGTGCATCATTAACCTCTGAAGGTGAACATCATGCATTACGAGACTAATATTGCACAACAAAGAAGTAAATTAACCGGTTTTATTGGCTAAATGCACTGTCCAGGACTCTTCACTTAATTAATGGGTCTTAAAATGTTATGGCTTTTGAAATCTCACAACTTGTCTTGCACTAAATGAGTCCTTTAAGCGTCAAATGCTGCATATTCAGCGTTTCGCTCCCACTGAAGCGCATAAGGAGCTGTTTTACTCACTGCTGCCCCCTGCTTGTGTGCTCAGGTCAGGCAGCTGCAGGAGGACGCCGTGCGCCTGCAGTCAGCGTATGCTGGAGACAAAGCGGACGACATCCAGCGGCGTGAGGGAGAGGTGCTGGAGGCCTGGAGGAGTCTGCTGGAGGCCTGCGAGGGCCGAAGGGCCCGACTGCTCGACACCGGAGACAAGTTCCGCTTCTTCAGTATGGTGCGGGACCTCATGCTCTGGATGGAGGACGTCATCCGCCTCATCGAGACGCAGGAGAAGCCCAGGTGTGTGATTCTGACCTGGCTTTGCTTTAGGAGACATTATTTCTGAAAATGTGCCTGAACTTTAGTTAAATGCGACAACCTCTGTCTTTGAAATGGAAATGGTTCATAAAGAAATCAGATAAATAATTATAATTTTTTTTTTACTACTAAAATGTCCAAAGTTGTACTTCAGTGCTATAGAGTGATATAGCTAAAATTATATCGGTCTTTTTCATTCTTTTATATTGGCTCTTCAGTGTCTTAAAATAGGATTTTTACAAATGTTTTCAGTATATAGATTAAATTAGTCCATTTTATTTTAATTGTGCAGAATACAAATTAAGTATATAATAAATATAATAATAATAAATAATAATAATACATATATTCTAAAATATAAAAAATAATGCTGATATAACTGTAAATTAAATAAATAAATAAATTTTTACTGTTAAAATCATTAAAAAAAATAAAATAAAATGTCAAACTGTATTTCAGTGTTAGGTGACACTTTGTATGTATATCTCAATATTTATGCTTTACAGTGACATAAATATGAATTTTTTTTTATTCATAATATTTTTTATTGTTAAAATCATTATAATAATCAGGACTAGGTGATATAGCTAAAAATTATCTTAAACTTTTTCACCTTTTTTTACACTTTGATTTATATCTCAATAGTCATGCAATATTTATGCAGTGAAGTAAATATGGGATTTTTAAAAAATTAATATATATACATATATATGAATAAATAATGATTTTTATATGTATTTTTAAATGTATATTACATTAGGAGTCAACATTGTGCAGAATACAAGTAAAGTCCAAAATATGTATAGAAAATAAATATAAAAATGTGTATAAAATTTAAATATTCAAATATATATATATATGTATAT